TTTATTCTTATCACATATAGATCGTTGCTAGCCCCTGTGCTTGAGGAGACATCACTACACGCGCGACTAGCATATTACCTGAGCATTTATTACAAAGATTATAGGGTTGACAATTACAACGATGACTGTAATGAGTCATTATCAGAAATTGTCACATTTTTTGGGAAAAGGAAAACTCGAAACAAAGTCCTGTGCTGTTACTGCATTTTTTTTCATTTACAGTATAAACACATCAAATGAATTTTAATAAACATTTCAAGTGTTGTTTCCTAAAAAATGTTGATTTGGTAGGTATGCATATAACCAAAAAATACCACACATATTTACAAAAATTTCCATCCTGTTACCAATACCATTAAAGTTTTTAGCAAGAAAAATAAAAAATAAATAGATTAACTTATTTTTGTGATAAAATATCAATATTCTAACTAATTTCACATATTGTTTCAAAAGCACTGTGGTCGAACGGCAATGTATAGATTCAGGAAATAGGGAACACCGAAGCAAGAGCTAAACAAATCACGTTGTTGTACACCTCCAGTCGAGGTAAATTGGATTATTTTTTAATCATTACCCATGTTGTATAATTAGTCAAAACGGATGAAGCAGTTATTTTTGCAACTTTTCAACTCGATAAACTGAAATATATATTGATATTCACTTCTTAATCTTACATAATCGAACATTAATCACAAGCGCTGACATCCGAGTCGATCAAATTTCTACAATTCTGATAATAAATCTGATAAATTTTGATTGAATTCAGAGACGATGATGAACAAAGAGTGTATGAGGAGACATGCAATCAAAGCAAATTCCTGTTAAGTTAATGTGTGAAGTTTGAACAACCGTGGCTCTTAATCGACGACTACAGTATAGTTACTTGCTTGTTTATATGATAAAATTGACTATGATTACTAGTGATTGTACTGTCGATTACTTGCGATTTCCTTGTATAACTATTACATGGTAACAAGTCGCTTCCGATTGTTATTACAGAGGTTTTGCAACCTTGCAGGTACATGTGAGCTACAGTACGCATACAACTATATTTTATGATTACATAAAGGACCGTCCACATGTACATGTAGTATGTAAACTGTGACTTTTCAACTTTCTATCGTAATATGAAAAGGCAAAGCCTAAAAAGAACTCTATAACGCTGTTTTGGCAGTAACTGCACTC